ATTTTGAAATTCATGAGTGTTACCAATTGCCATACTTAATTTAGCATTCAAATCATTGATGCATGGGTAGGGATGGAAATGGGTCGGGTATCCAGCCCATTAAGCCAATCTCATACTTTATTCATTAAAAAAAAATACTATATCTATTATCCTATTCATTATCCATTAAAAATCACTTGTTTATTTTTTCATCTAGTCCATATCTATTATATCATACCCTATTCATACCTGTTTACCTACTAATTTTTTTCCTTAAATTAAAGATTTTTTATTTTATTTTGTTACAAATACGGTTGACTCATCGATAAATTTTGCATCATTCATGTATTGCTTTGTAGCTATAAAGATTGCATGATTCGAACAATGTTTATCGAAAAAGCACACACAAAAAAATCAAATAGTTAAGATCCCGAAACCTGGTCTTGCAATCAATAAAGAAGAATTCAAAAAACACATAAAGATATAGTATCGGATAAAAGTATAAATTTCCATGAAGAGGTGGTTCAGCTAGGCCCTATTCCATTTCTATAACCTCAAGTTGCAGTGATTTCTGAATTGTGATGCTTTGGTTTTTTTTTTTTAAATTTTATGTTTTGGTATTCTTTTTATGTTAATAGATAAAAGATGAATATCATAGAGTAAAAAAAATACTTATATTTATGAATAAATTATTCATTAACATAAATAAATAATATTATTTTACTCATATTTAACTTATTATCTATTAAAATATTTTAATACCTATTTTGTGTCCGAACCACACAATTCTTTTTAGGAATCCGCAATGCCTTTAGGCTAATTGATTTAACTTCTGACATCTCGTTTTTATGATTTTAATATTTCGAACTATCACATCAAATCAATTAATCGACTCTGTTATGCTTACTAGGCTTCCCAACCTAAGAGGAAAAAAATAAAAAATTTTAGTTAATTGCTTTGACGTGTTGCTCGAGCCATTAAAAAAAAAAAAGATGAAGAATTAATCTGGATTTTAAAAGAAATTCAGGAGTCATTCTAACAATCAGCATTCCTTAATTCAACTGGGGGGGATGCAACTGGGGATGAATGGCTCTTTTGTTTGTCATCAAGGCGACCTACACCCAATAAATGAAATAATAGTTTAGGATCCTCAATGTCAACAAAAGTTTTGGTACGGTGTTATTTAATGTAATGGAACAAAGTGATTCATTATTTATTTATTTTTTTTGGTGTATATATATATATATATATGTATAGTACGTAATAATTATAATATAACGAGTCATCGTGATTGTAATGATCTTTTTGTAAAATCAAACTCAACTTCAGAATTTTTGTTTGTTTGTTTTTTTTTTTTTTAATCTTTGAGCTGTCAGATCAAAACATTTAACCGATTCCACTATGCTTTCTAGGCTTCCCATCTCAATAGAAAAGCAGAAAAATTTATATAATTTTGCTTAATTGCTTTGACCTAATTGCTCAAGCTACCAAAATAAATAAAAAAATCAAGAATTAATTTAGATTTTATCAAAAATTCGGGATCGTTTTACTAATTAGCCATTCCTTAATTCAAAATGCAACTGGGGACGAGTAGCTTTTTTGTTTGTCATCAAGGTGACCTACACCAAGTAATAAGGTTAGGATCCTCAATGTTAGCAACAGTTTGGTACGGTGATATCTAGTCACTTATTTAATGAAATGGAATGATGTGATTCATTACATTTTTTTTACTTGTTTTTTTTTAAACAAAAAAAAAAAAATCTTTGTTAATCTAGTGGAAGCTTCTAGAAAGTTTCGTTTCAGTTTTTTTTTTTTTTGAAAAATCTATTTTAGTCCTTGTATTCTATTTTTATTTACAAACATATTTGAAATTTTTTTGGTCATTGAATTGTTTTTAAATTACAATTTAATCTTTTTTTATGAATTTTTTTACACAATTAGGTTACGTAAGAATTGAATGTAATTAGTTATCATAAAGGATAATTACACTACAAGTATATCAATTTTCAACTTTTTTCAATCGAGTACATGAATTTTAATTTTTTTTTTAGTACATCAATTTTTTCAAAGTTATCAATCAAATATTTATATCAATTTTTTTTGTTAATTGTTAACTTGTCCGTTTCCCTCAAAATGCTAAATTTTAATTTTAATTTTTTTCTCTACCAAGTATATAATTTTTTTTTTTTAGTTTGATTACATCAACTTTTTCAAAACTGTCAATTAAGTACCTTCATCAATTTATTCATTAATTGATGAAGTATTCTAATATAAAATTATAATTTTATTCTTTTTTTAATGAATTTTTTTCAAATTATTTTATCATTTTAAAATTTGAAAAATAATTAAAAATATCATTTTTTTAATCTATAAAATTCAAAACTAAACTCGGTTAGGCTACCGTTTAAAAAATAAAATAAAATTTCAGTTAGGTTTAAGAGTGAAAATTGAAGAAAAACACAAATGAATCTTTTTTTTTTTTTTTTTGTTTATGAAAAATCTCACGCTTGTGTTCTTCAACTTTCATGCCCAAAACCTAATTGATTTTTTTTTTTTTAAACAAGCAAGTCTAACTAAGTTTAGTTTGAGATTTTATAACTAAAAATAATTTTTTTAATTCTTTATTAAATTTCAAAATGATAGAATAATTTAAGGAGAAAGTTCCTTATAAACAAAAGAGGGAAAAAAATTTAATTTGGTATTCGGACACATCATCAATTAATGAAGAAATTGACAAAAGTACTTGATTGACCGTTTTAAAAAATTTGACGTACTTAATTTGGAAAATTAAAAATTCATGTACTCTATTTAGAAAAAAAGATAAAATAATAATTTGGTATTTCGAGAATAACGGACATGTCACCGAGTTAACAAAAAAATTGACAAAAGTACTTATTTGTCAGTTTTGAAAAAGTTGGTACATCTAATAAATTAAAATTTATACACTTATTTGAGAAAAAAATTGAAAATTGATGTATTTATAGTGTAATTATTTCCGATATTACAATTTTCAAAACTACACAACTAAATACAAAAGTAAAGAAAAACCCCAAGGACCCCAGGATGCAACACCCAGCTTATTAAAATCAACAACAACCTCAAAAAATGTCCCTGCAATTCACCTTCACTCTAACTGCTTTGACACCATCAACACATTAGGTGCTTATATCTTCGGTCATTAAATTTGGTTTTTTAGTTTAATCAAATTGAATTTTTTTTTTTTTTTTAATAATAATGGAGATTTGGCCATCTGAATTTTCCAAGTTAAAATTTTTAACTAAAAATAATGGTCAACAAAAAATATAACAAAGAAAAATAATGTACAAAAAGGCATCTAATTGCTAGTAACTCCTATACATTAAAGTCAAGGTCTGAAGCTTACTCTTCAAAGTACAAAGAGCTCTGCAATATCACCTCTTATGTTGTATGTATTTATTTTCTACATCTCTACCTTTTTTTTTTTTTTTTTTCAACTTGACATCCAAGAAAATAGAATAAGAAGCTAACAAACAGCAATTTAAGCTTTATTGAAATTTGAAATGCATGACTAACAATTTCCTAATTTGTTATTTATATGGGCCAAGGCCCAATCTGAAACAGATTAAGAATCAAAGTGTTATAATTCATATAAGGGCCTAAAAAGTTGATGAGGGTCCAATGGACATGCCCAATGTATGAGAAAAATAATGAGGTCCACCACAAAAGGATTTAACATGAGGTGGTCCCAGTGCATGAAAAATTGGGCATGTCCATTGGACCTCACTACCTGTCTTGAGAACATTTATATAAAAATGGATAAGGAATAATAAATGTAATATTCTATTCTTATATAATACTTAAAATCTCTCTTTTATTTCTAAATTTTTTAAAAATATGTAATCTTTTTTTAATCAATTTTTTCGAATATAATTTTTATTTATTTATCAAAATGTCCTTATTTGAAATAAAAATTAAAGACTTTAAAAACAAAACATACAGTCATATGACTTTACATTGTTTTTTTTTTTTTTAATAAAAGATATTTCAACTAAAAAATTATCCATTATCAAAAACATTGATCGAAAAGACATATTTAACCTTTAAAAAATTTTCAAAAAAAGAGACAAGATACAATTAAAAACTTAATAATTTTGAATATAGCACAAAAACACACACGCATATATATATATATATATATATATATGTGTGTGTGTGTGTGTGTGCGCGCGCGCGCGCGCGCAAAAAGAAACGGATGATTCCAAGCCTAAAGCATATTAATCTTATCAAATCAAAAAGATTGTGCCCATCTTTGCAGCCGTAAAGCATACACCTAGAACTAGCTAGAAAAGTCGACAATGAGGCTTAAAAGATTTGGAATCTTATATAACATAAAATAGCTTCCTCTCAAACTGGAAAGTCATCCATGCTCGAAAAAGCATGCTTTAACCATAGTAGTTAGTTTAAGTGGGAGTAAATTAGTCTCTTTTGTTAAGTTTCTAGAGACGAATTAATTAATCACTATTGTTTTAAAAATTAATTATTTAATTCTTATATTTTAAAATTTATTTGTAATTTAGTTATTTTTAGTCATTTTTTAATTTATATTTATTTTTTAAGAAATAAAAATTTTAAAAAATATGAAAAGATTAAGATAAAATAATAGATTTTATGAAATAAAAATAATATTAACTTAACCATGATATCAAATAACTAATTAATTAATTTTTTAAGCAATATAGCGTTTTGCAAAATTTGAAAGACTAATTTATAATTTATTAGTGATTGAGAAAAACGAAGGAAAAAAAAAACCCAAGATGGAAGACCCAGCTAAGTCAACAACCTCAAAAAAGTCTCTTTTTCAATTCACCTTCCTTCTATCTTCATTGACACCGTCTACTCCTTCTTACTGGCCACTTCAATCTTCTATCTCCTGATTCATAGGGAGCCTAAGGCATCTCCTCTGTGTTTTCTTGTCATACCAAATCTTTGAATTCATTGAATATTCTGCAATCTTGGCAAGCCAGGATTGAGAGACTGCTGATATGGATGATGAAGTGGAAAGCTATCTGATGCAACAATTTAGCGATGGTCTTAGATCTCCCAAAGTGAGCTTGAAAAAAGATCTTCAGGAAGTGGAGAAATTGATTCAACAAAAACTTGGGAACTCATCTGCTTCAGAGAAGCCATCACTCAGGGAAAAGCTCTATCGCCTCAACAACATTTTGGCTGAATGCCAGACAGCATCATTCTTATCTCGTGAAGGACTAGTTACCCTGTGGAGAATCAGGAATCATTTGAAAGAAATCAAGGGGGAGCTTAAGCCGAAGGAATCCAACACAACTGCCTCGAATGGACACGTTAGTCCACCACAGAATGGTCAGCAGAACTCATCAAATGTTAGAGACACTGACCGGCAGAGTCATCAATCAGTAAGTCCGGTGGTGGTTCATGGGTTCAACGATGAAATAATGTCACTGGAGAAACTGCTTGTTTGCGAAAGAATTAATGAAAATTTCAATGCTGTTGGAATCACAGGGATGGCTGGTATTGGAAAAACCACACTATCCCAAGAGCTTATAAAAAGAGAAGAAATGAAGAAGCACTTTGTTCCCAGGATTTTGGTAAGTATGCCGAAAAGGTCTGATGGGAACAAAGACGTGAAGACAGCACTTTTGGAAAGAATGCTGTATTCACTTGGAGTTGAAGAAAATATCATTGAATCCATTTCTAACCGCGGCCTTTCATCTCTAATCTGTGCACTTCATGTGCAGCTGATGGGCAAGAAATATATGATTGCCCTAGACGATGCACAGGAAGCAGATAAGTGGTATGAAAACCTGAACTCTCCTTTGCCTAGCAAGGTTGAATGGGAGCAAAGCCTTGCGTATGGATTGCCGAAAGGCTATGGTGGAACAGTTATTGTCACTAGTAGGAATGAGGACCTGGCAAAGAAGATGGTTGGAGAGGAAAATGTACATCGCCTTCTGCCTCTTTCAGATAAAGAGAAATGCTGGTCTATATTCGAAGATTCTGTTAAGCAGGATGGGACACAATTCAATCCCCAGAATATGGAATTGGAAGATCTGAAAAGGGAAGTCATACAAAAGTGTGCTGGCCTTCCATTAGCAGCAAGAATGATAGGGGAAATTGTGAAAGAGACAATGAAAGAGGCACCTGTGCCTAATGGTCATAATGTGACTGTACAACCACAGTCATCAACCGAGAGCAACTCAAATGTTTAATGCTTGTTATGCTGACTATGATTCCTTTTAGACTTTTGACATGTTTATGGTTTTCAACTCTTATGTCTTTGATCTTACCTTGTCATATTTCTATTTGAAGTTTGAACGAAAAATTTCTCCTCTTTATAATTGTTTTGCAGTTGGGTAAATAGGTTAAGCAGACGATATTAGCTGAATATGGTTACTAGGTGCTTGGTTGGCTTCTTTCTACTGGCAATGGGACTAATTAGAATGAGGCAAACCAAAAAATTTGCATGTGTAAAGTTAGATGTTTGAATGACTTCGCTATGAAATATTGAAAAACAATTGCACATCAGCAAGGTAAAACAACCAGCAGTTAGCAGAATCGGCAGAATGCGCAGAAGGACTAAACATTTTAGTACTGATGTTTCATTATGAATTCACTGATTATCTATTGCAGTTTATCTTCTCTGCAAAGTTCTCTCTTATTCACCTGGCCTTCCACCCAAAAAGAAAAGAAAACAAAAGAATTATGGTATTCTTATATGATAATATAACTCAAAACTAGAGTATTGCAAGGCCAAGACTCTTCTTTAAGTCGACTTCAGGCTCCAAATTAGCCAACAATGCATCCTCCAGTCAGGATAATCAAATAGTTCTTACGCTGTTGGCATTATGGACTCTGTCATTGATTTATGATTGATTTGGCAGACAATATCAGCTGAATGCTTGGTTGGCTTCCTTCTACAGGAAATGGGACCAATTAGATTGAGCAAATAAAAAATTTGCGTAGTTGAAAACATCGATTAAGAACTAGATGTTTGAATGACATTGCTATGAAAGATTCAATAACAGTTGTACATCAGTACGGATAATCATCAGCTAGTAGAATCAGCAAAATATGCTGGACTAAACATTTCACACTTCACGGATAATCATCTATTGCAGTTTATCCTCTCTGCAAAGCAGTCTGTTATTAACCAGACCGTGCTGCCCAAGAGAGAAGAAATTTGACATCCTAATATGATGTTTTAACTCAAACTAGAATATAGTAAGGCCAAGACTTACTGAAGTCAAACTCAGGCTCTAGCTTAACCACAATGCATCCTCCTGTCAGGACAATCAAACAAATTATCTATTCGTACCTTGACGCTTAAGGGCCTGAATATTTTGAGAAAGTCTAAAACAAGTTAGGTGATGCAAATTCTTTCTGACCTAGTCTTCTGGGCATGATAGACGATCCAAAGTGTTTTCACATCTGTTAGTTGTCTCACAATATCAATAGACAACGAAATTATGAGGCAACGATAAGCATTCCGGAGTGGTTATTTCCATGAAGAAAATTTCTGGATCCAAGCAGGTCTCATGTTTTAATCCAAGCGAGTAGATCCAGCCCCTTGCTACCTGCTAGCAATGACATGGTCAGTTTGTGCGAAAAAGAGGTGTCATGGCTCAGCTGAACATGGTCCTCCTAATGCTGGTGTAAACTGAAAATCTTAAAACAAATAAACAACTAAGGAACATTGAAAACAAGTAGACCATCAACTCCTATGATCAACTAGTGCATCAAAATCCAAGCCTTCAGAGCTTGGTGTCCTGAGTTCCATGACAATTTTATATCAGAATTCATGGCACACAACCTCCGGAAATCAAAATCTAATTTCATTGAATGACAAAGATAGTGTTGGATTTCAAATATGCTCATGCTCTCTTTCTTTTACATCCAAACTATCTTTACAAAATGGAGAAACAAAGATTATGTAATAAAAAATCATCTCCTCATACAATAAATAACCTTGCAGATATAATGAAATGCAGAACAGAATCAAAATTGACAACGTCTGCCAGAACAGTATGACATACTTTTAACTCAAGTAGACCTTTTAGAAAGGAAAGACCATGTCAATTCTAATTCTTCCAATGGCTGGCGTGCTAGCTTTTCTCTGTCCAACCACACTCCGCTCCCGTCACAAGGGAAGAAAGACAGCTTTGGACAGTTGAATTTCTCCAAATAAACCAACTGTGGAAATGCACCATTCAGTACTATCCAATTCATCTTTAGTTCTTGCAAAAATTTTAGACGCAGTATCTTAACATTCCACTTGACATCTCCAACCTGATCACCCAGATCGTTGAGATGCCCACCTCTTATGTAGAGTTTCTTAAGGTTTTTCAGTCTGCCAGGCGACAGCCAAAGAGGAGCCTTAGTCTCTGGGTAACACTGAAGATCCAGCTTCAGCAAATCTTTCGGAAGGTCTGGATTGTCTTGTCTAGAGCCAGTTGACCTCGTCAGTCTTCTTGAGATGCTTGGCTTTCGCTCAAAGCTTCGATTTGGCTCATTGCTTTGGTTTGGCTCATCGCTTTGATTTGGCTTTTTCTTGGCCTGGGATTTCCCTCCCCATGCTATTGTTAGCTTCCGAAGCGTTGCGATACGCCTTAGTGCACCAAGGTCATGAAAACTTGGGAAATCCTTCTTAGTTGTATAGATGCTCAGTTTCCTTAGCTTTATCAATCCTTTTAAATCATCAAGAGTACCTGCAGTTTTTATTTTCAAATCACTAATTACAAACCCCTTAAGGACTCGGAGTTCAGTAAGTGACCCAAGCCCCTTGGGCACGAAATCCAGCATGTAGCACTCAGAAATATCCAAGTGCGTCAGCTTTTGGAGTGAAAAAATATTCTCTGGAATTGTCTCTAGATTGTGACATGCATTAAGATCCAAAATCCTTAGATTGACAAGCTTCTGGATGGTCTCAGGAAGCTCGTTAATCCTAGAGATTCCTTGAAGACTGAGAAACTTCAGATGCTTCATGTTCCTCAACCCCTTCAAGAATTCGGTGCTGTCAACTTCAACATGATGCTTGGTCTCCTCTGCTTCATTGTGCTTCTTAGATGAGTCCTCCCACCTTCCTAGGCAAAGCACATTAATGTTTCTCATCCTGGAGAACAATTCTGTCTTTAAATCGGGATAAGGATCATTGACATTGAACACAGCATGCAGTTTCTCTAGTTTCGACTCCATATCAGGTAACACCTGCCGCGAATATTTGTCTCCAGTTTTGATCAAACAAGCCCTCTGACTGGATAAAAAGTCTGCCGTGGGATTCCCCATTGAATCAAAATGGAAGAACCCCACTTTTGCTGCTACAACAATAACAGCATAACGAATCAATGAGCGCATCCTGAACCCAACCAATCTACGCTTCTTGATCTCAGGCTCAACAAACCCTTTCTCCAAGAATTTCTTCAGAATTTCATCAGCAACTTCCTCCGGATTGTCACCATCAATGAAACCCTCTCCAACCCACCAATACATTAGCAATCTCTTCTTGATAACAGCATTCTCTGGAAACACCGCAAAGCACAACAAACAAAGCTTGTCTCTTAAATCAAGACTCTTATAATTCTCTTTAAAATCTTCAAAAGATGAACACCCTTCAAATGCTTTATTATCCCGTATTTTAAGCATCTCATCAATCAAATTAAGGAAATCACCCCCACTAACATTTTGCGATTTCTTGTGCCCTTCATTGGCCAAATTAAGCTTGTATGGTGACGGTATGTCATGCTTCAACTCCACAACCATCCCTGCGATTAACTTAATATTATGCTGCAATCGCTTGGTTAGGATGGTATGATTACCAGTGGTGACACTTTTTCCTTTTATATTCTGAACGACATCTTGAAGCGATGCGCTTTGATCTTGAAGACTCTTGAATTGGGCACCAACATGTAGTTCTAGTTGTTTGAGTTTGTCACAGGCGCTTTGAATATACTTTAAATCTCTGGTCAATTTCTCCAATTGATTGTGCAGTTTTTGGTTGATTTCATGATCAGAATTAACACTGCCTTCATTGCCCACATTCACCGTGAAGTTGTTGTCTTTCTTCTTATTCGCATCAGTTGGATTCTTGTTGGAAAATCCCAACATCCAACAGCTTCCATCACTGATCTCGTCTTTGATATAAGCATTATTGCTGGTTGTGGTGTCGTTGTTGCCACCAACATTAGTAGTAGTGGCGATGGTAGAAGCAGAGGCAGCGGCAGAGGCAGAGGTAGAAGCAAAGGCTGAGGTAGAAACAGAGGCTGAGGAAGAGACCAGAGCAGGAGCAGGAGCAGGGGTGGAGGCGTCCGCGGCAGCACCATTGTTGCTGCTGTCTGGTGTGGGTGGAGAAGTGGTGGTGTTGCTGCTAGTATTTTCATCATTGTCGGCAACATGCTGGCTGTTATCGTTATCATTAACGTTGCTGGTTGTGGTGGTAGAGGAGGAGGAGGCAGCGGGAGTGGTGATGGTGGTAGAGGAGGAGGAGGAGACAGCAGCAGCCGCAGGAGTGTTATCGGTATTTGATTGTGGGGGTAAAGGAATGGATGCCTTGGCCTCGGAAACTATATCAATCAAATCCGGAATTGATTTGATAATTTCTTGAATGGTCAATGCATTACTAGAACTAAGATTCCGTTGTGCAGAACTACTAATAGAAGAGGACATGATTAAGTAGAAAACTCAAGAAAAGTAGAGAGTGAAAGACAGGACGCTAACCAAACCTGGACAAGATTTTCAGTTTGATGTTAAGCTTGAGTTCAGTTCGAGTTCGGTCCGAGTCCAAACTCCAAACTGAACAAACTTGAAAGTACAGCTCAGTTGAGACCGCCCCCAGCAAATGAAACATCAGCTTTTAACTTGGGGTTCGTATTTTGTGGCCGTGGAGCACAAATAATGGAATCTGAAAATTTTGTTCTTCTGCTGGGTGAAAGGTTGTGAAAACATGAATTAGCTAGACCATGGGTCAACTGAGTTCTTGTCCGTCCACTTGTATTTTCTAGCTGAAAAGGAAGACCAGGCCTCTTTTCTTGGTCTTTGCGTAAAGGGCAAAAGGAGGAAATGCAAAGGGGAAATTTTGCACATGATTCAGATAAGCCTATGTTTTCCTCCTCTATGATCTGTTTTTTGTTGGTTTCATTTTTCTACATAATTGGAGATTGATGAAAAAAATAGTACCAACGGACCGAATTAATGACACCATTAGAGTCTGTCTGATTTAAAGGTTGGATTGTGATGAAGTAAATTATAAATTAATCCCTTTTGTTTTAGAAAATAAATCAGTTAGTCCTTATTGTTTTAAAAACTAATCATTTAGTTCTCCACCTTAAGTGTTTGCAAAATCCATCAAATAAACACCTAATATCTAAAATATTTGTTAACATATATTGCAAAATCTGTCAAATTAACACCTAATATCTAAAATATTTTTTGACTTATATTGCAAAATCTGTCAAATTAACATCTAATATCTAAAATATTTTTTAGATAAGAGGGACTAATTTATAATTTACTCATTCTGATTTGACTATGATTGTAATCCTATTTTTGTGTTAATTGCATTGCAATCAAATTACATCATGCGTTAAAACGTCAATTTAGATCTTTAAAACATTAATAAAAAAAATTATTTTCATAAACATTTGCTCCATTTGAATCCAATCTAAGACCAAATTCTTTCTAGATTTACCCTTAGGCATATATATATATATATATATCCAAATCCATTTTATGAATAATTTCTTTATTGCATTGTTTTTACAATTAAATCCAATATAATATTATGCAAAACAAATTTACTCATTATGGAAACCAATATCTCTTTATTTATATTTCCTAATTTCTCTGTTGGAAAACGGAAGAAGTTTTAATGATAAATTGTTGACATAGTAGCAAACGAATTAATTTATAAACGAAATTTTTATTAATATGCAGAGTTTGAATTATAGAATTACATTTACTAAAAATGATTAAATTTTATTACTCAAAAGATTAATTATATCTTCAAAGTTTTCTATCAAGAATAGAATAAAACTTGCAAGTGCTACTGTATAAAAATTGAAGCAGCTGACAAACCATATGCTAATGGACAGAAAGAAGTCAATTAATAATCTGGGAAAAATTTTAAACATCTGACTTAGGTTACCAACATTAATTAAGCATTTAAAGAAATAGCATTCAGGCGCAATTTGTTATATATGACAGCCAGGCAATTGCGATTTCCAAAGAGGGATTTTTCTAGTGCAGGCTATCCTCCCATGGTCTGCTTACACTAAATTAATAAATTGTCCGTTTTGAATTACTCAAAACACCCAATTGCAGCAGTCTCTCTCTCTCTCTCTTAATTTTGGGAGGGCGTGTGTTCCATTTTCAAATATTTGTAAATCCTGGAGGAATAAATTATAAATTAGTTTTGTAGTTTTGAGAAATAAATAAATTAATTCTTTTTGTTTTAAAAACTAATCATTTAGTTTTTTATTGTTAAGTTTTTGTCAAATCTATCAAATTAACACTTAATATCTAAAACACTCTTTAACATAAATACCTATTTAAAAAAAATTCATTTTGGAACTTGATAAAAAAAAAGGGAGTGGAGATTAATAAAATAAGATGTGAAGATATGAGGAGAAAAATGAGTATTTATTTTTATGGTTGAGGAGAAAGGAAGGAAAAAAAAAAAAGGTGTGTGAATAAGAGAAATAATGCATAAAAAGAAGAACAATATAGAAATAAAAAAAATATTGTAGTAAGTATATATTATCATTATTCTAACAAAGAACCGATGAAAGAACTAATTTATCCACGAAATTAAAAACGGAAAAACTGATAATTAATATTTGAAACAAGAGAAACTAATTAATTTAATTTTTTAAACAAAAAGGACTAATGTATAATTTACTCAGCCAGGAGGGTCGAAGTTTTGTTCAACAGCAACAGAGAAGATTGTTGGTTCTGACGTTACGAAGAAGAAAAGGTTTAATTGGAATGAAATTGGTGTATGAGCAAGACAACGTCCAAAGTAGCTTTTCCTAATATTTTGTCAAAATTAAACTTCAAAGTAATTTTCACAAAAATAAGCTCTCTTGATTTTATTTTATTCTTAAGTTTAATTTGGACCATACTATTGTAAAATTGTCACTAATTTCAACTCAGAAACACAGAGCAAGATTACCAAATACCATATAAAACATCCGGTCACGCCAGTCAGGATTACAGGAATAAAAGAGTGTGTCCTCCTATTTCTTTACATGGGCCGTGGCCCGTCTAAGGATGAGAAGATCCTCACGGCCTAAGCGAGTTAGCCGATTCTATATTCTCTACCGGAGGCCCAATTAATATTAAAAAAGCCCATGTATCCATGAGAAGTCAAAAGAAGCCTAAAAAGCCACCGGTATATTCTTTATCTCCTGTTTCAACTAAATAAATAAATATACTCATATATTTTTATATAGTATTCAAAATCTCTTATATATTTATGAGTTTCTAATTATATTTTATTTTTTCTTGAAATTTTTTGAAATTTTTCGTTTGTATTTTCGATCAATTTTTTCGATTATATGATTTCTTTTTACTAAAATACTTTTAATTGAACTACAAAAAATAATATAAATAAATAAATAAAGCCTTAAAAATAGAATACACATTTCATGTGATTTTAAATGTGTTTTTTTTTCTATATTTTAGTAAAAGGTCTTTTCAGTTAAAAAAAATTTATCAATGGTTGAAAAATTTGATTAGAAAAACATATTAAATATTTTCAAAAATTTTCAAAACAAGTAAAATATAATTAAAAATTTAAAAATAGATAATAGACTTTAAATATTATATAAAAAAATGAGTATATTTTAAAAAAAATTAATAATAGACATTGCATGTGTAGCTAACTCCAAAACTTAATGCTAGGGTATCATTTCGTCCCCAAAACAAAATCCCATTTGTAGCCGATGTGTTTAAAGCCCTAAACAAATTTAAGGCCGTCAAACAAGTCGAAAATGAAAGATCCCTCGATTTTGATTTTCTTTTTTTATTTTTTATTTTTTATTTCAACCATTAAATTCTTTAATAAGGTGTTTCGATTAACGAGTCATTCTATTATATTCTATCTATTTTAATCACGAAATACTACATGCAAGTCACATTTTTTCCTTAGAAATTGTCAAAATATCATTAAAAGATTATAGACAATCGGAATTAATCAATATGGTTTTTAAAACGTATAAATTTCAAATTTCAAATATATTTAATCCTCGTAGCACACAATGGCTCACATGAACACACTTTTTGACACATAACCTTAAGCATATGTTTTATAGAAAATATGACTTAAACCTAATGGGTGGAGGATTAGTAAGGATTCTATTCCGACAAGATTTCCATTGTTAGGCAAAATCAATCCTAAGCCCATAAGGTTTGCATTGTCAAGTGTTTATACAATTAAGATTTAAATTCATGTCACTTCTCAACAAATATCCACCTTCGCTTAAACTCTTTTAATAGCAAAACTCTCCACCTTCGTCGTCAATCTAGTACTAGTTATAGAAATTAAGTCCAAGCAATGCTTGAATTTGGACAACAGAAGTGATTTTGTTAACTTATGAGTTAGGTTATCAGCATTATCAATTTTTTTTTTGCAATAATATCATTCAACATAGTAATATTATAAATGAAACGGTACCAAACATCAAATATGCTTTTTTAAAAAAAATAGAATATGTGATCCTTAGCAAAATGTACGTTATTTTAACTACCACAAAACACAATAGTCACTTGCAACTAAGCTTTTTTAATATATATCTTATTTAGTTCTTTCAATTACTGCATTCTGTCTCTATGGTAGACAATGCCACGATAGATTGTAAAATGACATTCTAACAAATAACACCGTCACCAATCCTTACCACATACTTTTGGATAGATCTACTACAATCAAAATCTTCAATATAATCAGAATCAACCTAACCAACAAGCAATTAACTTGTCTCCCATAGATGATCTTATCAACCATTGTTGTGCTTTAATACTAGGCTGGATTGCTAGTCCAGTTTCCGGTCACTTTCCTTTTTGCTGTTGTGATTGTTGAGTGCCCATTCCACTCCCTTTCTAGCTTGTAAACTCTTTTAATTTTAATTAATCAGATCATGATCCTTTTCACAAAATGGTGATAATACTAATAACTTCAAAATTTCCATGTTGCTGCAGTATCTTCATTAAATTGCAAATGCATGTTCAATTGTCAATAGAATTTCATTGCATTTTATCTTCTTCTTTTTTCTTTTTTTTCCCCTTTACATGGAGGGAAATTTACCCATATTCAATGACAATGAGCTATTTGATCAAATTATCATATTCATTGATATATGTAATGACTTCTAAATTCTAGAGTTATATCTGGATGACCAGTACTTAAGATCCAATCAACAAATAATTTAATCATGATATACGAGACCTGATCCAAAAATATATCCTTATCATTAACATAAAAAACTAAAAAAATAAAAATAAAAATCATACCCATGTAGTTAAATACCAAAACTTTTCATTTTATACTCCAAAAAACAAACTGTAAGCTCATAAAAAATAAGTTGATTAAATACTGATAAAAAAAAAAAACTGAATTAAGTGATTAAGGGACTTAAATAGTTTAGCGAGTTAGAGGGGTTCGAGACAATTTGCAAATAGGGATGAAGAAATATTTGAAGAAAAACAATGATAGAGAGAGCCATTGGTGTGAGCTCCAATTGTTTCGAAAAATTGATAAACAAAAATAAAGATTTCATTTTAGAATGAAAGTCTTCTATGTTTGAGAATGAGCAGGGACCAAAAGACCCAAAAGAAACTAGCAATCCTTACAATAACGTGGCGTGGTAATCCCACAATAATCAAACCTTAAACTTTCCCTTATACCAGTGGGAGGTTCTGCAAAATACACTAACCTTGTTGCAACTTGATCTCCTTTATAATGAAGAGCTGCCATTGCAATTGCAAGTTTGCAACAACGAAAAAACCTATTTCAGATTGATATTAGAAAAATTAAGATCATAGGTCCCGAAGTAAACATTAGCTGAAAACCTGTAGGTAAAAAAAGCATTATCCTTAATTTTACTTTTGCTACCAAAATGATCCAAATAATACAAAAACTACGGAATTTATAGAAATTTTATCTTTCACAATATGACACCGAGGTTTGAATCCCAGTAATCAAGGAAAGAAACCATAGGCAAACCCCTTAATTTATCATCTTCATATTTTGATCGAGGCAACATCTAAATACCATAGTGCTCATACATGTCCCAAATTTATTAGTAATATGCCTAGTGAAAAACTAGCTAGTAGGCCATATTAAAAATGGCGAAAACATACCCTATACTTGGATTTCATACAATTGTGCTTGCATCAAACAATCCATCCAAAAATTTTCGCCAGCATCAAAATTGGGAGAAGCATTTGGATAGTACAACAACTCTTGGATCCACATTTCATCTGTGTATGTTTCCCCATAATTATCCACCTTGCACATTTGACCTTCCATTGACAATGGCTCCCCCCACAAACCAAATTCTCCAAAAGATTCAAGTAATCCAGGATTCTCCTCCTCCAGACCAGACGAGGTCTGGTTTTCGTTGAGGTCACTCACAGGACTAGAGCTTGATGTGAAATTAGAAGCAGATTGAATTGGTGACATGGGGAACCCCTTGGAGGAGTATTCTTCTGAATTCAATATTTTTGGAGCAGTGAGAAGTGAAGCATCAATATTGTCAGATGATTTCCTTTTCTTGGATTCTTCTTTAGATATTGGCACTCCTTGCACTTTAGGTGCTTGCACTGCAGTATTAATGATGTTGTTGTACATGCGGTTCTTCAAGTGGGTGTTCCAGTAATTTTTTATATCATTATCTGTTCTTCCAGGCAATTTTGCTGCGATTGCAGACCATCTGAGATACGTAAAGGAAAGAAATTACTAGGGTTGATATTATATATGTAGACAATCAAAGTCAATATCTCTTAAGATTGATATCATGAAAAGCTATTATGGATCTTTTAAGAGTTTCACTTCTTCTAGTTTTAAATGGTTTTACGTTTTCATATATAGCTTTTGATGATATCAATCTCATACTGAGTAAGGGGTGAAAAGAGTACTACCAGTAGCTGATGGATTACTGGAGCTGTATTTCTCTTCTAAAGAGCAGAAATGATAGAATGCTTCGAAATCAAAGAAAGTTCGCGATGAAATGGTAGTTTATAATAATATTTATGGATATGAAAACCTAAGGTTTACTAATGGAAACTTAAGAAAGAAATAATGCCTTAGCTACCAAAGATCATCCATATTTTAGGGTAAAATTACCTATTTCCTAACTTTTCATGCTGCTTGATTATTGTCCGCACTTCTTCCTTGCTAAACTTTCCACGCTTTATATCCGGCCTTAGATAGTTCATCCAACGAAGCCTGCAACTCTTCCCTGACCTTAACAAACCTAGGATTGGAAGGAAAAAAGAAAAAAAAGAAGTAAGAAATCATACCAGTCTTATTTTCCCTGCATTTTGATTTTATATGAAATATTTAGAATTCAAGTACTAATCATTAGTAATATAATTAATTATTAATTACCAGCAGCTTGGGGCATCTGATTCCAATTGCAAATGCCATGTCTCTTAATATAAGCTCTCAACTTATGATCTTCATCAGGACTCCATGTCCCTCTTTTCAAACACAAATTCTGTGAAATTCTTCTCATCGTCTCAGACCGTGGGAATCTATTTCTAGAGTTCACTTCCTCTGCTTTAAAACACCATATAGCAGCCGTTGCCGTACTGCACCCTATAAAATGTTCGACTGGAAAAACGACTTTCAAATTTCCATAGTTCCTATACCCACTATATATGTGTGTGTGTGTAGAGGGTCCTTCCTTGAACATTACGTAATACAATGCTATTGGATTGTCACCGTATAAATAAATTAAACAGCGTGGTTAGTAGATTGACGAGTTCAATAGAAAGAATACTGAAAAAGAATAGAGAAGTAAAGTACTCACTATCAAAATTGGTTTAAAGTCTTTTAATATATTAAAATTCAGTTAAGATTTTGTATTGATCATTCCGATTTTGCAATTCAATCTTGGTGAATTATATTAAGCTCAATCACTTAAACATCTATATATAATGATCAGTTGAAATATAATTTTCTTTTTATTCTCACAAATAAACTAATGATCTTCTGCAAATATGAACTTTTTTAATTTGATTATACTGAGTTAGCAAGCTGAGACTTACTAGTGTAGGTAAGTTATAAATTATTTTTTTTTCCAAGAAATGAATTAATTAGCCTTTCTTATTTAAAAAACTATTTATTTATTTCTCTTGATTAATGTTGACTATACTTAATTTAATATTATTTTATTTTAACAAATTACGTATTATGTCTATATTGTGTTACAATTGAGTGAACTCCCAAGTTTCAAAGTAAAATACTATGCCAAAGACATTTTCTATAGTTAACATAAAAAAATAAAAAAATAAATAAAAAAAGAAAAAAGAAACTAGTGTTATATTTCAACCTAAAAGTTTAAACTGTTAGATGAGATCTCAAAATATGATTTATATTATTCTCTAACAAAAATGACATTATATATAGAAATGCTCTTTCTAATTCTTTAATTACTATTATAACAATGACTAAATTTATATTTTTTTCGGTTCTCAAATATATGTTCGTTATTTTTCCTTTAATCTATCATGGAACTCCTTGTAAATACTAAAACAAAATTGTTTATTATTAGATGTTGAAGGTGAATTTATTCTAGTAATTTTTGCCTTTTTGCTAGATGTTTTGTTGAATGATAACAAATTTGATTAAATAAATTCACCGAATTAGTCTAGTGATTAAGGAGGTATGATTTCGGTATATATTTTTTTTTAACTTTAGAATCACTATCGGAGGCGGTCCTCCCTTTTGTGGTTGGTGCACACACAGCACGAACAACTTGGCTTAAACTCACTCGTCGCTTTTGGTTCTAAAACACGAACTCAAATCAATCATCTCAAAGGCAATTTATATCGTCTTATCCAGGTGACCATTTGAAACCATTCCTCACTACTTCCAGCTAAGAAAGTCCATTTATGATCTCCTCCACTCCTTAGATCACCAATACCCGAAGATGACTTAGTTCAAGCCTCATCGTGAGGTTTCAATGCCTTCTATCGGCCTTTTGTTTGCTCCTTTAAATCTAGACATGAGGCTATTCTTTATGAGGCCTTGTATGGTCTAGCCTTAAGTGAAGAATTTCAGCTATAAGATGGCCTCCAACCTCGCTGAAATTCGATATCCGCTTATTATACCATTCAACGAGTCTATTTATCGTGGCCATGGTCGTCATGGTGGACGATCACCATCATATAGTTCTCGCCAAAGGTCTTTTGTTCTTGTTACAGATACAGCTGCATCTAGTTTAGTTACTCGCTTCAATTGTAATGGCACTCGGTCACCTTGTTAATATCCGTCCTTATCCATCACGTCCAAGCAATCATCCATATAAACCCTCATTTCATCTCGCCTTCTCTAACTCCTCTCCTAATATCTCTTAATAGATTGTAGATACTCGGTGTGACTCACCATAAGGCAGCATGAATTGGAAAACCCGGCCATTCATAATAAGCATCATGGTTCGAAGAAGTGCAAGTAACTAATGGTAAACATGTTCCCATTTTTCATGTTGGTTTTTCGTCATTTAATCTTGCTAATCATTCTTTTAGTCTCAATAACATTTTACATGTTCTTGATAGCAATCAAAATTTATTATTTGTCGGTAATTTTATGCAAATTAATTCATGTTCTCTTGAATTTTTTCCTAATAAATTTTTTGTTAAGGATTTGGCTACATAGGAAATTCTCCATGAAGGAACTCTTGAAAACGGTCTCTACACCTTCTCCTTGCCTAACCTTTAGGTTGTTCATGCTCTATTCAAGCTCACGAGTACTACTTTTGGGACTTAGCATACTCGTTTTGGTCTTGCCTCCTCTAAGACTATCCAATGTGCCTTGAAAGATGCTAATTTATCTTTTTCTAAAAAATATTATGTTATGCATGTTCCATTAACAAAATACATAAATTACCACTTCATCAATCTAGTTATGAGGCTAAGGCTCTATTAGAATTAATTTGTTATGATGTTTAAGGACCTTTTCCTATACCTTTAATTGATGGTTACTCATACTATATCTTATTTTATGATCATTATAGCAAATATTGCTCGATTTTCTTTCTTCATCACAAATTTGAAGTACTTAGCTATTTTATTAAATTTAGACATGGTGTGGAAATTTTTTTTGACAAAACAATTAAACAATTTCAGTTTGATTGGGGAGGAGAGTACCAAGCTTTAACTAAATGCCTCACAAAAAATGATATCTCTCAAAGAAATGCATGTCCTAAAATACCGTAACAAAATGGGTATGCTCGAGCAAGATAATTGAAATTGGCTTAGCCTTACTTCATCATGCATCCGTCCCATTAACATTCCGGACCTATGCCTTTAATACCGTTGTTTATACCATTAATAGACTTCCCACACCCCTCCTCCACAATAAGTCTCCTTATTTCACTTTTTTTGCCACATTACCCTTATACACCGAACTTAAAATTTTTGGTCGCTTATGTTACCTACGGTTACAACCATATGCCAGATCATAAACTTGCTCATCGCTCCTTGCTCTTCGTCTTGTGTTTTTTAAGATACAACAAAGTTTTTAAAGGTTATATATGTTACAATTTATCTATCAAAAAGATGCATATCTCACTCCATGTCTTATTTGATGAACATGTATTTCTATTTGTCATGTCATTAAAGGACTCCCGTGTACTCCACAATCCATCAAAAGTCACTATTTTGCCACCGCCACTATCGAACCGGATACACTCCACCACATCCGATTTCCCATCACCTAACAATCCCGGAACACAAACCTTATAGCCTAACCCTTCTTCCACGGAGTTAATTCCCATCCCAAATTTTGTACAACAAGTCACCCGTGCTACCTCCATCTCCTATATCTTTTACTATGGATCTCACAACATATAAGCTCACTCCTCTAGCTTCTTAACACACACTCGTTAGCCTTTACCAATGCCCACCGTCCATAAGAGTCTTGTTCTCCCGTCTAGACTTACACTCACTCCTAACCTAGAAGCCTCATAACTAACACATATGACTACCCACTACCTCTCACCACACTACCACTAGTCACCGTACCTACCTAAATACGACACTCCACTACGCCCTCCTATAACAGTACCTATTTCTATTGACCCCCAACTTGTTGTCCCTATTTTAACAATTGGAACTTCCTTCACTACCGTCGACCCTTTACTTGGATACAGACTCCCTCTCATGGCATAGTGACTCATTTCAAAACTAGTAAGTCGAAGCTTCGTATCTTTTCTACCAAGGCCTATACTCTAAAACCATCCACTTACCATCGAGCTCAAACCGATCCTAATCGGCGAGCGACCATGGTCGCTAAATTTAGAGCACTCATTGACAATGGTACATGGGAGCTTATCCTACCATATCTAACATAGAATGTTATTGGGAACAATAGGTCTATAAGGTGAAGACTAATAGTGATGGAACCATTTATCATTACAAAGCTAGGTTGATGGCTAAAGGATTAAACCCAAGACCAGCTTCCGGACTTGACGAATACATACATCCCTATTATCAAACTAGTGGCTTTTCATTTGATTCTCTCTATTGTAGTCTCTCATGGTTGGTGTGTTGATCGGTTAGATATCTCCAATGCATTCCTTTGTGGCTATTTAGAAGAAGCCGTCTACATGATACAACCTCATGGATTTATTAATGAAGATCATCCCACTCATGTCCGCAGGTTGTGCAAGTCTTTATACGGGTTGAAGCAGTGCTCCACGCTAGTGGTTTAAATGCCTCACCGATAAGCTATCTCCTTAAGCTTTCAAGCATCCCGGACAAACGTGTCTCTCTTCTTCAAACACATTAGCAAGGATCTCACATTCCGCATTATATATGTCGATAACCTAGTTGTAATGGGCGGTAGCGCTATACTAGTAACCTCCCTCATTACCGCACTTCAATCTAGCTTTCTAGTGAAACATCTTGGTAGACTCGGTTATTTTTTAGGAAAGTGATGGCTTACTCATTCACCATCGTAAATATAAAAGTGACATTCTACATAAAGCACAAGTACTCGGCTACGTGCTCTGCAGCAGAGGCACCATTTGATGATCTTTCCCTTTATCGCAGCCTTGATTGGTGATCTCCTCTACCTAGGCATCACTAGGCCGGATCTTGCTTTATCTATAAATAAGGTGGCTCAATATATGTATGATCCAACCGAGGAACATTAGGTTGCCTTAAAACATATATTATGCTATTTTCAAGCAACACTTGACCATAGTATACGCATTAAAAAATCCTCCGATTTTGCCATTAATGCTTATACTCGATTCGGATTAGGGTTGTGATGTTAATGATCAAAAAAGCACCTTAGGCTTTGCTATATACTTAAGCAAGAACTTGATATCTTAGTGTTCTCGGAGACAACATACTATTGCTCGTTCATCCATTGAGGTTGAATATCGTGCCTTGACAATTGCAGCTTGCTGAAATTGAATGGATAGAATCTCTCATAAAGGAGATTGGTATGCCCTTTCACTATTCAACCAAAATTTGGTGTGACAACATCTCTCGCTACTTACCTCACCACCACACCAAATTTTCACTCTCGGTCTAAACATTTAGAAATAGACTTTTACTTTGTTAGAGATTTTACAAGTATGTTATTTGCCTTTCACCGATCAAATTGTCGACATCCTTACAAAACCGTTATCCGTAAATTAATTTTAACTGGCTAACGTACAAGTTGTGCATTCTCTAAATTTCTCGCTCAACTTGCGAGAGGGTGATAAGGATAAGATTTAATCGTTAGTATCATTGTTTAATTGTATGTCCTTATCCTCCTTATCTCTATATAGTTAGTGTTCTACTAGTTAACTAACTCTTGTGTATATATATATATACAACTACTGTAACACAATATAATACAAGGGAGATTATTCAGTTCTACATCTTGACTTCCATATTTAGCACGCTTTTGTAGTCGGAAAACTGATTCATACAATTAAATATTTTTTCTAGGTTGTGACTTATTGACTAGTTGACAAGCTTTATTGGAATGAAATAGGAAAAGACTAGAAGTCAAGCCCCGAGGTAAAATAGGAATAAGTTCATTTCAGAAGGTATCTTCATATATAGCCTCTGAACGTAAGAAATTAAGGGGGTCAAGAGCTCAAGTCATTTTTAATATTAGAACTTTGGAAATCAATTAGCTAGATTGAACTACGAGAAATTAAAGGTTAGAAATGGGAGAATATATAAATTTATATATATAGTTGAATTGCAACTTTGAAAAGCTAGCGTGTCGATCAAGAAATTGCGAGCAGCCTAGATAGAAATAAGTACGCCTAAAGGTGTGGGCACACCTTCTTCTTTTTTAGACCCAAGATAAGCAAATATAGAATCTTATGTTTTGATGTAAATATATTAATTAACAAATAGTGGACAAATCATACATAAATCACATATTATATTCTTGATTGGCTAGCTACAATTGAAAAGTTGTCGAAAGTAAATGAATGTCAGAAACAATTTCTCTAGTTCAGGGACACGATCAGAAAGGGCTGGTGGGGACCCTTTTTTAGGCGCATTTTTTAGACCGTACTGTTTTTTGGTGAATAATTAGTAGACTTGAGGGAAAAGAAAAGGAAATAATGCAATGTAGATATATATAGCCGCCCATAAGATGTCCTGATGCAACCAAATTATCATTTTCTGATTTTAACTCTTAAAACTATAAGATGTTTTTTTTACGTTATATTTATTCTTTCATTAAATAATATTTGAGTTGTATGTATTTTTCACACACACACATATATATATATATAACCAAATTATCATTTTCTGATTTTAACTCTTAAAACTATAAGATGTTTTTATTACGTTATATTTATTCTTTCATTAAATAACACTTGAGTTGTATGTATTTTTCTCTCTCACACACACACATATATATATAATGAAAATACCACCAAAAAATCAATCCTCGCTCTTTCTTTATTCTTTTTCTTCTCCCTCTCTCTCTCTCTTTTCTTTTGACTTCTTTATGGATATATGATTTTGCTGAAAACAAGTTACATGTGATATTTAACTATTAAAATGGATGAAACATAATTTAATGGATGTGATTCAAAAGTTTTGCCATAACCCAAATTTTGGGTTAAATATTTTCCTTCAATTTTATCTCTTTTAGGATTTTTTTTTATTATCCTCTTCAATTTATATGTTTCTTATTTTTATTTATTTAATTTTGGTATTTACTATGAAAAAAAAGAAAAGAATAATACACACACACATACAAAATTAAAAAAATTAATTACGTTAGGGAACATAATTGAATAAAACAAAACTGAAATTGAAACAATTAAAGATACAATCGAAACAATTAAAATTCTAAAACCGAAATTACAAGATACGGGACCTAATTAAAAAAAATTAAAAGTACAGGAACTATAATGAAACATTCATATGGTACGATTGAAACAAAATCAAACTCACATGGACCTAAATCAACATAGGACACAACCAACAGGACCAATTCGGGATCACTCGAACGACTCGTTTTCCAAGCCTCCACAACAACATTCCAAGCATGCCAACTCTTGTATTTTACCATCCTCCGACCTAGTTCATCTTCACCAATGAAGATAATAAGCCAAAGGGATAGCAAGCCATCTTTTTCTTATACTATAATTCCCGTTCACGAATTGTAGTGTACCTTTTCATTTGTCATGTTGCACCGGACCTACACATACACAAAACACAATGCACAAACATTAAGCACAAGTTTTGGCTTTGTTCATACGAGTCAAAACGAATAGTAAGTTGAAAAATTTATTTTATTGTGAGGGAGTTTGGATTTAAGGGAATTGAATCCCGAGTGTGAAAGGAAGACTTTCGGGTATAAATAATGGTCAAATTAGGGTTTTAAAAGGAGGAATGATTAAGAGCAAAGAAGATGAACAATTGAGCAAAAAAGAGTAAGAAAAAGAGGAAAGACAAGAGCAATTGGGAGACAAGAAGAGAAACAGAGAGAGAAAGAGGGAGAGTGAAAGGGAAAAGGAGAAAAAAGGGATGTAAACAAATTTCATAGAAATTTAGAGGCTTAGGGTTCTTATCAAGTTGTTGGAAAAAAGGTGATCTTGGGGTTAGCATAACCAAGTTAGCCATCGTAGCTCTTATGTTTTAGAAAGACTCGTTTCACCAGTTAAAATAGCCATCATCTATCGCCATTGCCCATCCTTAACCTAGGCTCCCTCAATGGGAAACCCGGATAAGATTCTCCCTTTGGTTTCTAGTTCCCATTTGCATCAATATAGCCTTTAGCAGTTCCAGAACAAATGATGACAGGTGATATTCATCACTACCATCGAATAGAAAGCATCACCCCCTTTAATTTCTATCATTGTTGTATTTGATGTTGCAAGAGGAAAGTGAAATAAGGGTTTTGATTACTCGTAAGGGTTTGATTTTATAATTATTGGTTCAATTTTGGGTTTAGACTTAGGATTTAGGGCTAGATTGAGACAAGGAATGCGACTTAGGGATTAAGGAATTAAAAGATGGAAGAGAAAAGAGGGTTTTGAGGTTGCTTGGAGGCTCGATTTTAGGTTTTCCTATTCAATTTTGGGTTTTGATCGAAGGTCGGGATTGGGTTAAGGTAGGAGGCAAAACTTAAGATTGCTAGGTTTGAGAGAGAAAATAGGACATTGGTCTATTCTTTCTAAGAGATGAGGCTTATAACAAAAAGAACATTCAATCTCGAGTGAGAGTTTCAAAACACTAGGTTGAGGGAGAAGCGAGAGAAGGAAGAAGATGAGTGATTTAGGGATTTGATTTTGGGAGGAGTTAGTAGCTTAGCTTTTGGGTTTGAAAAAGGAGAGAGGAGACCAAGCTTTTCTTTTTGAGTGATTGTTTATGGAGAGATTAAAGAGGAAGTTTAGGTTATAGACAAAACTAGGGTTCGAAGGTGGATAAGAGAAGGGAGAAGGTGAACAATTCAAAGATTTGATCTTTGTGACTTGGGAATGGCTTAGGAAAATATTAGTAGGCCTAAGGTTTAGTTTGACTAAAATAAAGTAGGAGAAAAGCTGAACTAGCTAACCTTTAACCCCGCCTACACGTGACTAAGCCCAACCCAAGCTCGAGAGAAGAAAAAGGTTGACTCGCCTAGCTTGCCGACCCAATGGGCCGAAAGCCCACTGGATCCAAAAGGTCCAATAACCCTATTTTAACCATTTTCTTAGGTAAATTAGTTCTAAAATTGTAATACATACTTTTTATTTTATGCTTATTTTAGATTTAATATGTTGAATTTTTGAGTCTCTTATATTTATTTGTTTATTTAATCAATGTTTTGATATTTAGATTATATAATTAAAGATGAATGAGTTGTCAAGTCTCCTAATTTTTAAGAACCAATGATGATTCTCCACCAACCAGCAAATATAAAAAGAAAAAATTAAAAAGAAAAGAAAATTAAAAAGAGAGAGAAAATGTTAGATGAAAAATAAGAAAAAAACGATTAAAAAAAGAGAAAAAGAAAAAAGATAGAAAATACTAGGTTTAAAATTAACAAAGTCTTATACTCAATAGGGATTGATATTAGCCCAAAACAATCACATGTTAGTAATTAAGTCATTTTTTGACGTAATAATTATGTTGAGACTTAAACTCGAATTTGATATTGAATTGATGAGACTCCGATGGCGAAGTCTAATGATCAATTCAATACAATGCCATAAGTAAAAAAAAAAAAAAATTATTTTGGCTTAGGAAACAAAACTTGGAATTTTGACTTAGGATCAATGTTGGCAAAAAAAGAAATTTCTAGGAGATAAATTTCAGGACTAAACTAGATGTGGTACCTTTCTTAGAAAATGATGCTTTTAGGTGATTGTCATTTTTCCAAAAGCATAATGAGCTCCTTACCTTAGAATTTCTGAATTAGTATAGGTTTCTTATTACTTTTAATACTAGGTGGCAACTTTAAAATTAATAATAACTCATATTCCTAAATAATTTTTTTTTAATAAATAAACCATAAATTTTGGTAGTCCCGTGAACGTCCGGTAGCAACGGAATGACGACTCTATTGAAAATTAGAGTTAGACCATAGGTTTAGTCTTTTTAATTTATCTCTTTTATTTATTTTCATCATTTATTTTTCAAGTTACTTATTTTTGTCATTTAATTCTAATTTATTTATTCTTGTGTATATTTTTATTTTTTTAATTTATGTAATTTAATTTTTTAATTTTTATACATATTTTGTGAACTAGGTTGGATGTGTATGCTTTGAATTGTTGCACACACTATGAAAAAAGCATGCGAAGCTCTAGACTTAAGCTAAAACCATATTAGCTTTTAGATAGAGAAATTCATATGCAAGTATGATGAAAGTCTATCGATGCTTATTCAAACTCTCGTTTGGATTGGAACTCACCCTATGCAAGAGAAATTATAGAATGACATTCTTATAACTCCCGGTACATAAAGTTAGAGACTCGGATTACCCTATTGGTAATCTAGATAGTCCGAAGACTTGAAAAGACTTTAGAATTCGACAAGGTTTGCCTAAACCTTAGAAAAGCTAGATCCTATCCATTAAGCTTGACCCGTTAAGACACAAACTATCTTCAAATGATGTCAAAAGTAACCTTTTTTCTACAGGTTATCATCTAAATAAATCATGACAAAGAATGACATTGAGGATTTTATGATCAAATAAGAACGAGCTTAGTTTGAAGAGGAAGAATGTTTATCTTTAGATTTTGTGTCGAAGTTGACAAAAAAAAAAAAATGACACCTACAAACAATGAGTACACCACTCGAAGAGGAGTTTATATAAGACTCAAAAACCTCATAGCCACTACTACCTTATATTCTAGTTTGGAGTTGTGAATAGTAGAATAGGGATATGTTATAAGCATTATAATATGATTTAAGTGGTTGTAACGTGTGATCATTGTTATATAAATCAAATAATATCTTTTTCCTTCAATAAAAAAATAGCTCTAAGTCACATTTAGAATATGCATGAAGTCCAAATTTTAATTTTTCATGTATGCTGTCACAAGATGTGCTCATCAATTACGATCCTAAAAAAAAATTATGTCAAAGAAAAATTTGATCTAGGGTAGATATATATGTCGTTTGAATTGTTCAAGTATCCGTGGGGTTATACCCTTAGTGAGTACTAAATTTGATCCGGCCTATCCTCGGTACAAACTCTATCATAATTTGAAGTCTACAACAACAAATCAATGTATCCAATCCAAGTTCACATTGTTGCATACATGCATTTTTTCCTATATATATTCATTATACATATTACCTTGTGAGAATAAACAAGATGAAATAAGTATAAGCTATACTTAACGAAAGCTCAGCTTTTTTCCAACGTCAAAGCTCAAAAAGAAAAGGAAAACCAAGAAAGGGCTTAGAATGAACCATCAAAAAATGATTGACATTATAAGGGGCAAAGTCGGTTTGAGCAAGCATTGCAAGTGCTGTCTTTTGCAAGTGTTGTCTTTTGGTAAAGATATTTCACTCATTATTTGGTAGTTTTTTTTGAAGTATCTATAATTAGTATTAAAAAAAATTAATGTTGATAAATTTAAGATAATATGCTCTTTTTTTTATTAATTTCAATCAACGCTAATATATTGAGTTGTTATCTTTATTATTATTATTATTATTATTTATTTTTAATTAACATGTCTTCATTTGTTTTTTCTTATCGTATTTACAATTTTCTTCCTAAAAAAATATTTTCAACTTTATATATATAACCAACAATTTAGATAAGTAATCAAAATATGTAAAATAATTATTTGTAAAATGATTTTTTTTAACGAAAACATTACCCCGAGTGCTCAAATATAATAAATGGGCAAAAAATTAGCTTAAAATTATTGTCATTGCCAAGGTCTCTAATGCGTATGTTTTCATTGGTTTTTTTTTTTTTCATGCATAACGAGTACTCAAATGAATATATTAATTTGGTTAGCCTCAAGGACATCATAGTATGTACGGTCTTTCGTATATGGATTTCTCGATTTACAAAAAAAATGTTGTGCTCGTGACTTGGTCAAATCTTAAATAAGTCCCTCATTTATATAAAAAATATCAATTTAGCTTTCAAGAATGTTTTTATTTTTTATTTTTTTGAATTACATCTCGAAGGGACAAGGTCCAAATGTTCTCAATTATATTCATTTATCTAAAATTTCAATAAATTTCTTAGACGAATCCATTGATGCCTAGGAGAAGGCCAAAGTGTGATCCATTGATGGATAAAGCCAAGTGTCCGAATTGGAAATCTCTTAAACTTGAGGGATGCAATTGAAAAGATATTTCTTTTGGTGATGCAATAAAAATATAGACCGGGAAGTTTGCCCACACGACTTCCTACCAACTCCGAATATGGACTTTTTGTCTCTTAAAGACTTCAGTAAAAGCATGTCATGATTTGCAACTTTTCTTTATGGAAGAAAGAAAGAGCTTATGACAATAGTCAATCTTAACAGCTAGAAGTCCCCGCAACACGATACGGAGGCTCCATGATGCTTGGACCGCAACATTAATATGTACTTTGCATCTTAAATGTTAGCACCTATTTTTTCCTAAAAAATATATAATAAAAAAAAGAGTAAAACAAAATAAAAATACAATTAGGGATGCAATTAAAAGGGAAAGGAGAGAAGAATCAAAATAAAATGAGTTTATGAAACGAGGGAGCAAAACAAATTTTAGCCAAAAAAAACCCTAAAAACCTAGCATAAAAACACCCTTTTCCACTTAAAATCTTCAACTATTGTTCACCATCTCAAAAAAGCCGCCGACCTCTACCCACTAGCGTCCCACTACCCTCTCTCATGCCCCAGCCTAACCTCCACACACCAAGCTCTTCCAGACGCCATACCATGTCTCAGCCAAGATTGCAGCAGTCCTCCCTAGCGCCCCTAAGCTTGTTGCAGCACTGACCCCCTTTTGCCCACGCCACAACACCAACCTCTCGCCTATACAACAAGTCCTCCAAGACGTAGCTCAACCCTCTAGCACACATGCTTGCACATAGTAAACCTTACATGCCTACCTCACCAAGCACCCTCGCGCACGTCTAGCTTCGCATGCTTGCTCACCAACACTCGCGCGCATAACCCATACACTAGCCTCCACCGGGTGAGCCTTTGCCGGGCCAATCACCATGCGCATCCTCGCTCTATAACTCCGGACCACCACGTGTACACTCAACCGGGCTCTCTTGTAGCACTAGCATGCCTCACTCATGTGCAACAAGCAATCGAGTACAACGACCACCACTTGTGCACGCACCCAGAGAATCGCCATATTCGATCCATCTCCTTCAACGGACAACCACCTTTCCTCCTCGATTGACTAGTTGTCGATCTCCATTGGGGTTGAAAAGGTTGAATCCGATCTCGTAATCGTCAAACAAATCCATCGGGCTTGTTTCCTTATAGTAATTTATTTTTAACTTTTTCACTTTATTTCACTTTACTTTTTATTTGTTTGTATTAAATTTGATTCATATTAATATGTGCTCGTAGTTTATTTAATGATTGTATTGAGCAATTAATTCAATATGTGGTTCATTGTGTGGCTTATCCGATTTGTGGTAGCGGGTGATTAAATCAAGTTATTCTTATATTTGTGATGGTTAGATATTTTATTGCTTGAATGTGTTCTAATGTTTACTATTGTTTTATGTGTTTCTTCTTTATTTGAAAAACCTATTGGTTCGGATCATGTTTTTGGAGTCATGTTATCAATAATAACGACCTAATTTAATCACGTGAAAATTTTATTAAAAAAAAACACAACATTGAATCAAGTTTGAATTTTTGTCATGTACACTCGTTTTCATCAAACACAATCAATTATACACGTTGAGACAATTAATTTCATCAATTTTTGTCTTTTGTCGATTTTAGTTCGATTGCTAATTTTCGTCGATTTTTGCCTATATTTGCTTGAGTTGTCGATTTTTTTCTATATTTGTCTAAGTTGTCAATTTTTGCCTATATTCGCCTAAAATGTCGATTTTTGGCCATTTTTATCAAAATTATCGATCTTTGCCTATATTTGCCTAAGTTGTCGACTTTTGCCTATATTCGCCTAAATCGTTGATTTTTGTCGATTTCTTGCCTAAATTGACGATTCTTGCCTTACTTTTGCCCAGCTTGTCGATTTTCGCTCATTTTAGCCTATTTTTGCTTAAATTGTCAATTTTTGCCTATTTTTGCCCATTTTTGTCTAATTGCCAAATTTTGCCTTATGTTTGCCTAATTATTGTTTCTTGTCCTTTTTTGTCAATTTTTCCATTATTTGCCTATTTACCCATTTTTTCCAAGCTCGCTTACTTGTGCCCATCCGTCGATTTTGCCCATCCGTCAATTTTATCTATTTTTACCTATCTACTTATTTTTGTTCATATTTTTAGTTTACTTTATTGACTAGCCAATTTTGTTTATTTGCTCGCTTTGAGTCTCGTTATCACGTGCGTTGTTCCTTCTGCACTCATCACCTTTTTCGAGCCATCGTCTACGGAGTGAGGATAAGGCCTTGGGTTGACCAAGTCCCAAATCACTCGATTAAGAGAAAAATATTAAAAAAAATAAGCATAGTCTTACATCATTGAAAATTAAAAATTAGATCAATGTGACATACAATGCAACTTGCCTTAGATAAGACAAGGTAAGGTGATTTTTAATCTTTTCTACATGTAATAAATCCTTTATCTAGAACTCGAATAGACCATTCATAGGGTTTCTTGGTGACCATAACACTAGGTGGTGACTCAAGTCATTTTTGCTCATTTTCACATTTTTCCCAAATTTGTCATCCTCGACCTCGACGTTGCCCTACGATAAAATAGTGATTCCACCGAAAATCTAACTTCGGGTTAGGCTTTTGCATGTAATTTTTGAATTCTCGATTTCTATCGATATGATGAACTATTTTGCCTTATACAAACTTGTCTAATTTGCCTCGCCTTTTAAGTTCATTTATTTCCATCCTTATTTGCCTTGTATTTTCATTCCTTTCTATTATTATTAATTCATTTCATTTTTTGTCTTTGTTTTTATTTTTATTTTTTTGTTTTTTTTTTGTTGAGACTCGGATATGGAGTAATGCCCATGCACTACATTGCATAATTTCAAATGTTATCTCGCATTCGCTTTAAGATCTAGGGAACACTCACGAAACCTTAAATTTTTTGGAAAGCCGCCACTATCACGATAATTAATTGATAGTCCCTACGATTACCATCTTTGCACTTGGTTAGCCTCGGTTCCCTCGAGCGAAAAGAGACCCTTTGAGACTTAGATAGATCCTACCCAATCATGGGCTAGAACCGGACCCTAGGATCACCTTTCCCGTATAAATTCACTAGGCAAGTTGGACATGTCAAAACCTTGACCAAACCCTCCGATCATAAATGTTTCGGGATAGGTGACAAAAGAACTCATTTCCCGATTCACTTGGTTCCCGAATTCAATAAAAATTCGAGGCTTTGCAACAAACAAAGGGAGACCGCCTAGGATCGAATTTTAGAGCAACCATAGGGAGATCACACACTTTCGATCAATGATCAATGACACTCAAAAGTCGCTTGATTGTTAGAGGAGGTTGAGCCTTGATGATCGGTATAGGTTTCGAACTAAATATAAGAATCTTATAGTGTTCCTAGAGGTACCAATTCGAAGCCTACTCTCAAGGCTTTAACCCACCTATGGGACCCCTCATCTAGATGTTTCACTATAGGGGGACTAGATGTGACCCAATCTTAGAGGAGTACCATCGGCTTCTAAATATGTCAAGCACTTTATATAGGGTCTACCTATACCAAAGACGGTTAGATGCCGAGAAAAAGGTAGAGGACCGGCTAAACATCGGCATGAGTCATGGTAAGGCCGAGGAAAATGTTAGAGGTTGGCATTTTGAAAGCTAGCTGGATATGTTAAAAAAAATTGAGGTATCTAAAAGCTACCTCTAAACGTATCAAAATTCTTACATTTATGATCTTTAGGCTAGTGCTTTTCCCCTTATATGTTAGTTTAATCAATCTAGATGCAATCAACGTCTTCATCGAGGTAGAGAAACACTTTATAAATCCTATTGTTGCCATTCTAGTTGAAATGTTTACCTCATTGAGTCACCGTAGAAGGTTTGGGAAAGGAAGTATGAAACGTTGTGTTTAATTGCTTTTTGTATAGGGAATCGGCCATGTCGAAGCTCATAAATCAGCTTTTAAGACATGTTGGTGCACCGATCAAGAACCATTAAAGGAGTTCCTAGTCGACATGGAAGCACGGAGTTAGAAAGAGAGTGGTTTTCATTATTTTTAAGTTTGTCGATCGAGGGTTTTCTATAAAAGACGGTTTGGATGAATCAAATATCATATTTAGCTTACTATGGGACGTAACCCTAGGTCCCTCTAATAGAGCAACTGGATATACTTTTTATGCTCCCTTCATGGTATCAAAACAATATGGCAATAAATAGGCTATCCCGGAACGATGGGCCTAAATAGATATGAAGGAAAGCTCGAGAATGATGCCACTATTGGGTTCCTTAAATAGGTTTTACAAGATTGATTAACTTTAGAAATAATGGATGGAGGAACAATGGATCATGAAATGGCAAGCAATCGAGAAATACCCCATGTGGCAAGCATATTGGGTAAAAGATCGTAAACATCCGGCTAACTCGACCAAGGTGTGAGAAATGGATGCCAAAGCCAAACTCGTTTAAGGGAGTGAACTCGATCATACTATAGGCTCCGAGTGTCGTGCCTATCCGACTCTACTAGAAAAAGAGGAGAATGGAGGATTGCCTCGAATTAATTCCCGTAGACCATCAAGACCTCACCAAATAAATTGAGAGGATCAAGATTGAGAATAAAAAGCCGGCAAGTGATTTGATCAAGGAAAAAATATGAGAGAAAAGATAAAAAAAAAGATACTAGACTTGGAGCAAGATTTAGAGGCCTAACAAAGTTAGCTACCAAAGAGGAATACCGGAAATTGATCTATCATCGAGCTCGAGCGAACTAGACGCCAAATGTACCGAGTTGGATAAGTTACACTCATAAGATAGACAAGTTGAGTATGAGTTAAAAATTTTGGGGTAAAAAATACGAAGGCTTAGAGAAGATAATGAGAACTAGCAATTATCTTTAGGCACTAAATACAATCATCGACGAGGTTCAATAGAGCAATTAGGAGAGGCACAAAGCTAGATCCGGCACTCAAGAAGGAGAATCGACATCTAGAAAGAGAGCTAATTAAGTTATCCTCGTATTGGGCCACCATACACAATCACTTAGCTTAAATCGATACCGAATGAGAAAAAACTTAGCCGTGTTAGATAATCATGCAAAAGAGGTCTCTAAAGAAGCTATAAGTACTCGTGAGAGCTAAGCCCGGCCATCGGTGAGCATATGATGAAAAATTATAATGAATTTGTGATCGACTACCCGAGGAGGTGTGATTACTTGCCGTTTGAAATGGTTAAAAAAAAGATCTTTGGAGTCCGATTGAACTATCGAGCAAATCGCTCTTTTTGCTTTATTTCATTTTCCATTGTGTGAGTTTTTTTTTTTTGTTATGTAGAAGAAAGATGTATCTTGAACTAATTGGAGCCCTTATACTCCTCATTTTGAATATTTAGATAATAAAAGCTTTGGCATCTTTCATTAAATTGTGTCGACTCGTAATAATGGAGAATCCCATCCTCATCGACTAGATTTAAGAAAATTCAATGGTCGTGAATGGGAAGCGGTTCTAGGGCTAACATTGCTGGTACCAAAGCCACCAAAGTTACTCATTTTCATTCTTTAGAACAAAGCAATGCTGTAATCTAAAAGGAAAAATATGTTAGATATCATTAGGATTCGAATCTAACTAGCAATCAGCATCACAATTTCTCGAAGCGATCCTCTTTTTAGAATCCTTAAAAGTTACCGATGAATCCGAATTCATTTTTAAACTTAAAAGGATTGAGCAATCAACACTATCATATGTCAAGGCAACCCCTCTCATAGAATCTTTAAAAGTTACCAATGAATATAAATTCAACTTTAAACTTGAAAGGACCAAGCAATTAATGCCATTATTTATCAAGATAGTTCTCTTTTTGTAATCCCTAAAAGTTACCGATAAATCTGAATTCATCCTTAAACTTAAGAG